TTTTTTTTCTTGATTTTTAATTCATCTGTATGATTTTTGCTGCATAAATTTGACGATATTTTATTTGTTGGCTATAAACTGTTAGAATTTCATCCGGAAAACTGAGACATCAGAATTACATCAATGTAATCCGCCTTTCCGTCTTTCCGCCTTTCTGCTGTTCTTTTACTTTCATTCGCTTAACTGTTCATTTGGATAACAGTAAATTCTTTGTCAACTAAATTCTTCTTTATCGTTTCACCTTCAGCTAGTACCCGTTTTATTTTTGACTGCAAACTATAACTTTTGATTAAACAGAAATGATTAACAAAAAATAATTAAAATGGCAGAAAAAAGTTTTAGCAACTGATTTGAAAGGCGAGAAGCAGTGAGGCAAAAAAAAAAAGTGATCTATAGACTGCTGCCTTAAAGACGAGGAAAATTGAAACCAACAAATAAATCACCAAATTTTAGTTTTTCCATTTCTTTTCTCTCCTATATTCGAAATATATTTTGTCGCTGTAACTGTGATACATTTTTTTGTTTCTGTGTTTGTTTAATTGTTTGTTTGTTTGTTTGTTTGTTTGTTTGATACTTCCTTCTTTTTTTTTTTTTCGTTTGGTTTTGGAGAAATTGCTAATTTTTTTGGTGCGTTTTCAATAATCTGCTCATTTTTTTTCTTTGTGCTTTTTTTTTGTTCGTGTATACGTTTGTTCAATGAATCTTTTGACATTGTTTTGGTTTCTTTCTTTTTTTTCTGTTTTTTTAGCCATTATCGCCTATAAAGCTGCATTTTTTCCCATTTATTATACAATTTGATTTTATTGAACTCATCCCGAACACTGTTATGCTGTTTGATGTATGAATTCTTTTTCGTTTTTTTTCGAACCTTTGCATTTTTTTTCTTGCTGATTATTTGACAAATAAAGGTTAGGAAGTACGTTGATTTCATGGTGTCTTTAACAATGAAAAATATTACAACTGAGACTGTTGCTAAGTTGAATGAAGCTCTATACTTTGGTCAAAATTGACTTGTTGACGAGACGGCGGGAATATGGTAACAGTGGAAAAAAGTGAGGTTCTTAATTAGGTTTTCCTTTACCCAGTCATTTCATTTGCTTATTCTCCAGTTAGTGTAGGGCTTTAGCTACTTGAGGACTTTCAGACGTTCATTGTAAAGCACAGCGAAACATTTGGATAAAAAGGCTATCTAGTTTTTGCATCTCCTTTTTCTGTTGAGGATAGAAGGAAGAGGTAAGATACATGATTTTTGAAAAGCAAACGAACAACGCAGTTGAAAACGATGTGTAACTTGTATAACGGTACGATGTGAGGGTTGCATCGTGTAAAAAATTTCTGTTTTTAGACGGATGACCTTAGGATTAACCATTATTGTGTTGGTAAACAGAAAAGTTTATTTGCAGCGTTCTTAAGATTACCGTATTTATTTGTAGTGAATATGTGGACTAATCAGAGCAGAGTCATAATTTTTTCCATAACGGCTGAAAAAATTAAGTTGTCTTTTGCTCGACATAGAGTGAGGATCTGTAGAAGTAAAATATTTAAGTGGATGATAAGCGTAACTTTGACAAACAAGAATTGAAGGATATAACTCGAATACATCTTAAGTATCATTATTCTGGACTATGAAAACAGTGCAATGTACCAGACTCTCAGAAGTCCTATGTGTTGGCGAAGTTTTTTTCGCTGTTGGTCACTTACCGTATTGTACCGCTTGTTAGTGTGTTCAGTGTGAGTAACTGATCTATCTTACTAACTGATGGTCAGAGCCTGTATTGCTATTCAAAAACAAAGTCCGACTGAAATTCAGTGCTTTTAATTTATTATTGTGACATTAATGAACGACGGAAAAAGGCAGTGATTTTTGTATGCATGTTATTTCACTTCAGTGGTTTTTTAGAAAATCAGAATTTGATTCGCTATTTCTAAATAGTTGAAGAACTTTGACTTTTGGTTACATTAAGAGCTTAAAAACAGGCCAGCTGTAATCAGAAACTGGTTTTTACTGGTTCTAAGAGGCGTTTAGCCGTAGTGGTATACGCAAGAGCTTTTGACTTTTTGCAAGTCAATAGTTCATAATTTGAATCACTCTAAAGTTTACATTGAAAACAGAGGCTTTAGTCAGCTAAGTTCTTAAGTATTCATGGTTTTCACTCTCTAAATTGACTGGCACTTTTCTTAAAACTGTAAGTAATTTTTTCTAGATTCTTTTTGGATACCTTCTGGTTTTTTAGCAATGGGAGGACGAAGGCATTTTGAACATGTTTTCTGAATCACTGAAACTTTAAAACTGTAAACAGTCAAAAAAACTTTTTCTTATTCAATTTTTTCTTGGAAAAAAAGAGGACTAAATTAAATTAAAAGTTAAACCAAATTTTCAATGCTGTTTACTCATTTTACTTTAGTTTTTACATTTTCCTCTCTTTTTTTCTTTTTTGTTTGAAAGAGATTTAAGAAGTTATCGTTAATTAATATGTATTTCAATCTGTAGGCTGTCTAATTTTTTTTTTTTTGTTTTATACAATTTTTGGTTTCTGGTTTCTGGTTTCTGTTTATTTCAGATTATAAACTTTAAACGTCTTGAATAAATTTCTAATTAGGCATTCTATTTTGTAAGGCTTCTTCTGTAAACCTTCAACTGTTATACAAAGATGTACTAGAGTTTTTCAAAATTTTTTTTCATTTTGTACAGACTTCTGATTTTAATGTACGAATTAGAAAAAAACAAAAAGAAACTTTTTTTGCTGTAAAGTAGGCATTTCAGAAGTAAAAAAGAGATAATAATGAAATTAACAGAGTTTGGTGTTCAAAGAGAATAAGAAAATAAAGTGGAGGGCATAAAGTCATCAGATAATTTTGATTACGAAAATTGAATTTTTTTAGGAGTTGAGTAACAGATGAACATAACTAATGGTCTTGAAAAATAAGCAAAAATTTAGAGGTTTTAAGAACTTGTTTTTTTGATAGGATTTTCAGTGCACAATATTTTTGCTGATAACCGCATGTTAAAGTTTGAAAACAAAGTTGACTTTTTTAGTACTCCTTCCTCTATGGTACAGTTGTGCTTAGACAACGTTTCAACAGCAATAATGAATAAAAAAATAGATTTTCTAGTTGAAGTCAATAGTATTTTTATCTTGTTATAAAATGCTTGTTTACTTTGAAGCACATTTACATCACTGCAGTGAATAAAATTTGTTTTGAACAGAAAATCTAAATCTATAAGATTTTGTACGCTACATTTTTGTCAGGCATTAGTTTCTGTAAACTGTTTGAAAAATCAGTGTCAAATAAATATAAATTGTTGTTTTTCTTAGATTTTATAGTAATTTTTTTTCTCTTTTTGCAAAAAAAGGATTAACAGATCGGCATCTAGTCATAAACAGTGTTGATATACTGTTGTCGTTCAGGCGCAGTTGCTTGCTAATTTTAATTGACAAATTTAGAACCAGGTTGTTTTTAATGCTGAGTGTAAATTTAAAAAAAATTATAAACATTATTAAAAAATTGAGTTTTTTCACTTTATGTAAGAGCGATTGTTGTTTACAAATGCCTTTTTTTTTCAAATTAAAGCCTTTTTAGTAACGTTTTTTCAAAGGCACAATTGAAGTAACTGTTCCACTGCTCTCTGATAACTGTCCTATCGAACAGCAATG